TATAAAAAGCAAATTTAAGCCCTTTTAGGGCTTTAATAGCCTTTATATTAAAGACCTTAGCTTTGCTTATGCAGCTTTTTAAAGAATGAATAAGTAAACTATTATAATAAAAGGTAAAGCTCCAACTCATAACCTTAGTGTTTTATTTTAACTTATTTAAGTATATTATTAAGTTTAAGCAAGGTATTAATTTAAGCTATAATAGGTAATTTTCTATGGTAATTTGCTTATTTATTTTAATAATTAAAAAATGCAAGTACCTTAAATATATATAAGGTTATAGGAAAGGATGGAGGAAGGCGGGTAAGAGCTTAGAAATATATTTAAGGTTAAAGGGGGTAAGCCATTAAGGGCCCTTAGGGGGTGAAATTTAAGTTATTAATAGGTATGTTAAGTTAAGAGTGCTTAATTAAAAAGCAAAGTAGTTTTTAATTATAATAAGTAGGATATTAGCATATAAGATATTAATTTCTTAATAAAAAGCGTTTATAAGCGTTATTTTATATATAAAAAGCATAAAAAGCAGGGCGGGATAAAGATAAGCATTAATTTTATTAACCATTTTTTTATTGCTTATATAAATAATATTAAATAAAGATTTAGCACTAGGGCAATTATATCCATAGAATTAAATCTCGGCTTTATAAAGAGCTATAAGCTTAATACATGCTTATATAGCTTAATAAACTAAGTAAATAGGTGGTTTAAAAACTATGCTATATAGGCCCTTAAGGTAATTTACCATTACTTTAGCCTTAATAATTTATATATTAATATACTAAATAAAGATAAGGCGCTAATTAAAGTAAATATTAAGCTAATATAAAGATTCTTTTATAATATATAAAAAGCTATTATAATATACTAAGGGATTTAATAAGTTATTCTTAATATAAGAAATATATATAACTTTCATTTTAGCTTAATTAAATTAAATAGCGTTTTCCTTGCTTTAAATAAGGAGCTTATTAAGCTTTTTAATTATAATATTAGCAATTTCCTTTAGGAAGAATTTAATTAAGATAAAGGCTATATTATTTACATACCTAAAGCAATAATGTAGCTTGCTAAGCTTATAAATTGGTTTTATATAAAGTAAAAAGAAAATGGGTGAAAGAAGGGAGCCTTAAAGGAGGCTATATAAGAGTTTAATAATATTTATTATAGTTTATTGCAAATAAATGCGCGTTACTTTATTTATAAGGAAAGAAATAATATATTAAATTAGGTCGTTAAATTAGCCTTGCTTATGCATGCATAAAGCAAGGCGGTTATAAAGGATTGCGTTAAAGGCGCCTTAAATATTAGTTATAATAAGTATAATTACTTAATTAATAAAAAGGGCGTAATAAATATTATAAATAAGGGTATAAGCTAAGTTTATTGCTAAGCATTTTAATAATATATTTATTTAATTAAGGTAAAAAACCTTATAATTTAATGCTAAGTATAAAAGGCATTTAGTAATTAGCCTTTTAAGGCCTTTATTAAAAGTAAAGATAAAAATAATAAGTTATTATATATAAATGCTTATAAGGTTTCTTTTATTAATTTTTAAAATTATAGCCATTATTATAATATGGAAAATTAATAAATAATAGCTAAGTTAAAGGCTTTATTTAAGGAAAATATAAATAGCTTTGCTAATTATATTTTAAATTGCTTAGAAAATCTTAATAATTATTATATTCTTATTAAGGGCAATATTATTAGTTTAAAGCATAGCGTTAATGGCTTTATTTATGGATATTATAGGGTTTTATAGGATATGTTAATGCATAATAAGGGGAATTTAAGGGTTGGCAATATTATTTTTAGCGGTATATTGTTAAAGCACTGCTTTGCTAAGTGCCTAAGCCTTGTTTTTTTAAAAGATAAAAACCTTATTTTTTATTACTAAGGGCAGGGGGGCTATTGCTATTTATAAGCAATGCTAATTGGCTATTTTATATATATCCTTATGAAATGTATAATTAGTAATTATTTCTTTATTTTAATTCCTTTTAACTTATTATATTGCTATATAAAATTTTATCTTTATTAAGTAAAGGTTAGGGTTAAATTAATTATAATTAACTTTTTATTTATAAATAAGCTTATTATATAGCTTAGTAAGATTATTAATTTATTAAGGCAAGGCATACCTTATATTTTTGCTTTAATAGTTAATGGCTTTTGCTAAGTTATAAATAAGCTTTAAAAGGGTTATAACGTAAGTTTTTAATTTTTAAATAATTTTATTAATTGCTAAAAGCATTAAGATTTTTATTTAAATAATATTTATTAGCCTATTAAGTTTATTATTAATATAAAGAATGTGCTTAATTTGCTTTAATCTTATTTATAATGCAAGGAGCTTAAAGATAAGCGTAAAGTAATTTAAGCTAATATTAAAATATTCTTTAATATTATAAAAACTAAGGTAAATGTTTATAAAAGCTAAATTTAAAGTATTGCTAAACTTATTTATTAAGGTATTATGCTTATTTAAAAGTTTAAAATTATATTTATTTATTTATTTTATTAAGAAAGCATTAATGCTTATAATAAGTTTAAAGGATTATTAATATTAATAAATAAAATTAAAATCCTCTTTAATAAAGCAATTCGCTAAAGGGGTTTACTTAGCAAGTATCTTTTTAACTTTAAATTATTTATTTATTAGGTAGGGTTGGTTATAAGCATTAATAAAAATCTATTTATTTACTTTAACTTAATAAATATCCTATATTTTTATTAAGGAGATTTAATTGGAAATAAAGCTTTGTTTCTTGTAAATATATATTGCAATACATAGCTTATTTAAAGTATTGGTTTAGCAGGAGGTTAGGAAAAAAAGATTATATTTAATATAAGTTTTTATTATGCATTTCTTATTAAGGAAAATATAAGATTAAGATTCCTGGATTATTATAATATTAAATTTATTGGCTTATATAAGTTATAAAGCTATATTATGTATAGCGTTATTCTTTATGCCTTTATTAATATTAAGTTAAAATATAATGTTTTATATTAGGTGGTTAGGCTATAGTTATTAGCGTTTAAATGGAAATTTCTTAGTTATAAGATAGGGCGTAGGTAAAGGTAAGCAAGCCTTATACTTATGTATTAATATTTATAGCTAAGTTTATTAAATTAATACTTAAGCGTATAGCTTATTTGCGCATTAAGAGATAAATTATTTTTAAAGCTAAGGGAAAGGAGGGTTAATATTTACTTATATTATTAGCTTTTTTAATAATAATTACCTTAGGGTTTATTGCGTGATAGGTTTTTTCTCCTTTTATATAGATTTTATTTCGCTAAGACTTAATTAAGTAAATAGTTTTTTTATTAATTAGCTTTAATTAAGTAGGGCATTCTTTAAAGTTAATATAATAAGGGCTGTAATAATTAATATATTAAGATAAAAGGTTATAATTATTATAATAATGGCTGCTTATATTATAATTATTATAATAAATGCAATATTTATAGTTATAGGTTTTATAAAATTCTTAGTAATTAATGCATTAAGGAAGTTAAAATATTTTCTTTAAAGATTATAAAAATAAGCTTTAATTAAAAAGGTAAAAGCATTTATTAAAAGGCTTAATAAATAAAATAATTTAAAAGTTAATATTAAGATTTTTATTAAAGTAATGGGATAAATAGTAAGAGATTAATTAAGCATTAATTTAAGCGAAAGTTTCCTTTTATATTACTTTGGCTATATTTACTTTTTTACCATTGCAATTTTAAATTCTTATTAAGATATTAGCTAAGATATAAATATATTAAGTAATGCTAGTCTTTACCTTAGTATATCTTAGGAATTAAGTAAGCTTATCCTTATATATAAAAAGTGCTTAATAAATAAGTTTATTTTAAGACTTTATAGCTTATTTTATATTAACTTAATTAGCATTTAATAAGTTTATAAGTAATAAGTTTATATATTTATAAATAAAATTATTTAATATATAAAAGTTATAGCGCTAAGTAGATAATTATTTATTAAAGTGGAAAAAGATTTATAAGTCTTTTTTAGGCTTTATATTCTTATAATATAAGGAAGTAAGCTTTGCTTTTTATATCTTTAATTAAGATATTAAGGCTTTTATAAGTAAAGGGGTTGCTATTGCCCTTATATAAGATATAATGATAAGGCTTCTTATTAATAAAGGTAGAGTGGGTATTAAGAGGGTAATGCATTTAAAATAAGCATTAAGAATTAAAGTTAATTCCTTAATAATTATGTTTTAAAGGTATATGCTAAACTTAATACGAAATTTATAGGCGGCTTTTAGCTAAATGCTAAAAGTAAATTATTAAAAGGCGTTATTTAATGCTTATATAAGGGATAAGAATATATTATTTTTAGCTTTTATATTAACCTTAAATTTTATAAAAAGCTTAATAAGGGTAAGCATTAAAGTTATTATAAATATAAAAAGGTTCTTTTTAATTAATATAGCTCCTTTAGGTAGCGATAAGCTAAGTATAGGCTTAGCGTAATACCGCTTATTATATTAAATAATTTAGAAATCATTAAAGTTAGCGAAAAATATAGCTTTTATATTTATTAAGGTCTTAAGGGTATAAAGCCTTAGCGGTAATAGCAAAGCTATTATTATAATGCTATTTATAAATAGCTATCGTTAAATAGGTGTTAATAAATTTAATATATACTAGGCAATTGCCTTAATAGAAGCTGCTAAGACAAAATTGTGTAGGAGGAGTGTATATTTTATAGCGTATGCAGCCAATTTCCTTATACTGGGTGGGCCAACGCTGAAAGCTGAGTGGGCGTACTGTGGAAGCTGGGTGGGCGTACGCTGACTCCGAGGAGGGGCGTCCACCACCTTCTTACAGGATCATACACCAACACGAGCCTATTTCTCCTTGCTTTCAACACCGTTGCTCGAACATTGACACTCAACACCACTGTGCCCGGCTTCGGTTTGCACCAATATGTCACATCTAATAAAGCCCGCGACCGCATCTATGCAACAACCATGAGTGAACCACCACGCATCTTCTCATGGACCGTTTCAGAGGATTTGGAGTTCACTCACTTGGATACCGCTAACGTCAGTAAGTGCTTGGCCGTCGGCGTCCCGATCCACTATCCTGGTCCTAGCAACTAACTGCACAGCAACCTCCTCTTGCTACTTGTCAGACGATGGGGACTACGTCTTCAGTGCCGGCGGCCCGGGTGCACGAATCAATGCTATGACTGATGATGGCGGGATTGGGGAACAGGTCAACGAACTGTTCTTTGTTCCCCAGCAAGATATCCCGAATGTGGACAAGACTCGCCAGGCTGTTGTAAGGACTTCTCACAAACATACATGCCGTGGGAAAGAAAAGCTGATTTTTTTGACGTTTCAGCTTTACGGTGGATACGCTTTCGATGTGAACATCAACAAGAAGGCATTTATCCCTCATATGTGAGTTTGATCGCCCCCGCACCTCTGCTTGCTCACGGGGCTGAATGTTACAGTGGCTGGGACGCCATTTTCATGTACGACATTGGCGAAGATGGAAAAGCGGATTTGCTCTCCGTCAATCTGAGTCCCTCGTCAGGAGATGGACCTCGAAACTCTTACCAGACCGCAGACGGAAAGCTTCTTTACGTTGTATGCCTTCACAGCACTCAAAAGTTGGTGACAAAGCTAATAGAATACACCAGATAAACGAGCATAGTGAGTTGATCATCGAAATGCATGATGCTTCGTAATCAGTAACGCCGAGCTCTTCCAAATCCAGGTCAGTATCTTGATGTATACGAGGTGGGAAACACACGCCTGGAACACAAGCAACGAGCTACTGCAATTCCCAATGGTCAGTGGAGCCTCGAGAATACTGAGACGCGTCTTCATGAAGCACAGTTTTTCTTTTTCTGTATTTCTTTCTCTTCACGACAACTCAGGGCTAACATCTTTTTCACCAGACCTCCGAGGCAGATAAACGTATCGGAGCAATACCGTGCAACCGTCCCGCGACGGCAGGTATATCTTCACCAGCATCCGAGGCTGGAACAACACCGAAGCCAATGGCTGGGTCGCTGCTTATCAGCTGAATGAGGCCGGGTATCTGACGAGTGAGGAGCCTGTGGCCTTTTTCAAGGCTCCCCTAACACTGGGTTCCGCAGGTGGACTGCGGGTTGCTTTCTGGCAGGATGAAACAAGCATCGTAACTGGAGGTCTTACGGATTATGTGTATCTGAGTGACACGTCGGTAGGATGTATGTTCGTCCTGGGATGGGTTCCTGGGATGGGCGCCTCAAAATCACACGTTGGTACAGGTGGCTGAGTTCTGTTATCCTGGAGACGACGCACCCTACGAGGCCGTTTGGTTGGACTGAATCTGTACGAACATGGGGCTCAACCACCAGCAGTCTGCCATCGACTAAGCATGAGTGCACAGAATGCCAGTGTAGGGCAGCTATTTCTAGCGGTCAGAAAGTGCCAGCCAGTCTGAGTAGACTACAGCTAGCTGATATCAGTCTATTAGGACTCCGTGAAATTATCGAGTCAGTATCAAAGCGCTACAAGTTTCCTTTTCAAACCGATCTAGCGCCGAGAGGCTGTAGATTCTTGCCCAGGACCCTGGCTGGATACCTTGAGTTCTCGGCTCTAATTTGCAGATATGACAACAATACCACCCCGATTGGATGGATCTCTGAAGCTCTCCTCTAAACTCGCATTCTCAGCTTGCAACCGCTCCTGCTCATCACATTTCCTCGCCACCTCGAAGTCAATTATCGTCACCTTGCCCTCGGGTCTTTGAACGAGAAAATTGTTCCTGTTGACATCTCCATGTTGCACCCCAAGAAGATGAAGCCGAGCAAGTGCCATCCTGCACGCCTCTAAATCATCAAGTGTTGCCGGGGAGGCTCCATCGATATTCTCCATCAGGAATCCGACGACCCTTCCGCCTTCTGACACATGTCCTAAGAAACGAGGTCCAATGTCCTCATCTTGAATCCATGAGTAAGCTCTGGTCTCCACCTCCATAAACGGGATTTCCCAAGGGAAATTGGCAAGCTTAAAGATAACAGGCTCCGGAAACAAGACATGGCTGACTTTATGGATGTTCTGGCGGACGCGGGCCACTGTCTTGAGCTCCAGGTGGTCAACGACGATCGGACACCAGACAGATTCGACTGCGGGGAGTTTGTCCGAGGATATCGATGAGAAGACCGGTTTCCCAGTGCGGTTATCCTTTGATATACGGCCCTTGGTCCAATCGCCGTGTGGGAACTCAGGTATCGCTCGAAGCACATCAGGTTTGAAAGAACGATGGATCTCAGCAGGAAGAGCACCTGCTTCAATAGTCACGTACTTAACGTGCTTTCCGTCGACCAAAAAACGGTATTCGTCTTCTTCGACGCCGTCAGGGTCCACAAGAGCCGCTAGGAGCTCGATGCCTTCTGATCCAGGTTGCATTGCTGAGGCCTCTTTATGATACTGTCTGTGGAAACGCTTCGACGTCTCGCACAGCGTTCATCTAGATGTACAGTTAGGCCACATATCGGTATCTATGGCAAGTCACATTTCTTTTACCTCCAGCCTGCTGGCAGCGTCGCGTGTCTTGTGGCAAAGAATTTGTTCAGGGTAGACCGATGCGGATGCTTACCGAATCGAGAGGAAACTCGTCGGCTTAAAGGTTTGGTCAGTTTGTGTTGATAGGTATATCACGTGATAACGTAACAAGTAGAAATAGTATGAGTGATGAAAAGGTCTTGTTCTGCGTAAAGGAAAGGAAGAAGGGAGGGCTAAATGCGATCCAGCCAGAACGACTGGAAAGACATTCAGTCCGTTGGTAGTGCACGAGCCATTGGGTGGCTCGTGCACCTTTCTTCACTTGGAGGCTGACTTCTAGCTCTTTACTATCCCACTGAACCAACAGCTTATCAACTTTGAACCCGGTTGAAGCAAGGGTAACCTTGTTGCTTCGGATCCTCCTGTTGACATACAGTTGACTTGGGCGATACGCCGTGTTTCATTGGAACCAAAGTTTACTAAATAAAGGCCTCCCATTATGAATACTGATTGGCAACATCCTGACCTGTTGGCTCACCAAGCGCGTAGCTGAAGCAAGGCCACCGACTCAGCCCAGTTTACTAAGGCACGCTACAGGGAACAGCACCAACATGTTGGATCAACCTTCCAACGACCTGCTCATTCTGTGACCATGAGTTCGCCTCAATGGACTGAGAAGCTTGATACATATGCCACTATATATTCACGCGTCGAAGTCCCCATCCTCGGCGGCCGCAGTCCCAGATATACAAATCCCCCATCCAACGTTCATCCCGAAGTCCTGCCTGAAGTCTTCTACCTGTCCCATTTTTCAGTATCGCAGCTGCCTACACAACCATTGCGATCCCACATATTGTGAGTGTCTGCCCTTAACGTTAGTGGAGAGACCTTAGGACAGTATTAACATCGAGTGTACGCAAAGGTCCGCTGAAATTGTGAAAAGACAGCTTGAGTGCCGTCCCTTACTCTACAATGTGCACGCAGTGGGCCCGATACTACACCTGCGGTTGCAAGAAGATGGAAGAATTTGTCCAATGTCAAGAACGACTGGGAACCAACGTCAAATGTACACCTGTGAGAGAGGAATTTCTGCCAAACTCCGCGCACATGTGCAAGAAACATATGGTCAAGCAGGGAAAGGACGAGATGCACCGTTGAAGCACAGGCATGTTGCCGAAGTGCACTAAGATAGGTGTCACTGTCAACGTGGAGACCGCAGAGAGCTACCAAAGGATCCCGGAGGGATAATGCAGTCATTACTTCTGAGTTATCTGGTCTTGCTGTCAGAGTAAAGAGGAACTGGAGATGGCTTGATTAGATATATCCCCATTTGAGAAAAGTGGAGTCGGTCTACATAGGAAAACTCACTACCTACACACTTCAATTCACACTTTGTCGGAACTGCTCAAGGCAAACTATCCAACATCTGGAGGTAGTCTGCGAACTCGCGAGTTCTTCTTTAATTGAGGAGTCTGGATAATGATTGCATAGTGAGACGAGTATGCTGTCTTCCCTGAATCGAAAGCGCTTCAGTCGACATAGACGAATCTCAGTTCCAGTGCGTTTCAGTGAGGAGCTTCCTCTCACCCTGCCATTCGTCGTTCGTGTTTCATACTGTGACTGCAGCAGCTGGTAGCGTCTAGCCAGGCATCCATGAAACAGAATTCTAGGTTCCTCGGCAGACTATAGTGACTCAAATCTCATACTACTCCGTGATGAAGCCCAGGCTCCTGGGCTTATGGTTCACCTCGTCAGTGGTGTTGAGTGGTCTCGTTTTTAATCTGTACATGTATGCTTCTTAAGCAATATGCATCCAGTCCCTTTACATAGTAATAAACGCTTAAACACCTAATGTTAAAAAAATAATACAATATTAATAATAATAAGTTTCAAATATAATTATAGCTTATAGCTAAGAAAATAATAATAACCTTATAATAGCTATATAAATAAGGCTAGCAAGAATTTCTTTTAACGGCGCTATAAATTAAAAAGTTAAGCAATTAATTATACGGCAAAAATCAAAATAATCTTTATAAAATAAATCCAATAAATATAATTTTAATTAAAAGCTTAATTTTTATTTATTTATATTAATATATATTATAAGCTCTTAAAAGAATCCTTATTAAGTAAGCTATTATTATAATTAATATTTAATCTTAAAGCTATTAACTTTAATAAAAGCCAAAATAAAAATTAACTTCCTTAATACTTATTTATAATTATTTTATAATATTAAAGTTAGCTGCGCGGCGTAGGAGTTCCCTAAGAAGGAGGTGGAGTCCGCTGCAGCTCGCCACGAATCTTAGGGATGCCACGACGGGCCATGTACCTTGACGCTTTGGCCTCCAACCACAACTTGTACCTCTTGATTTTGAAGAGTTAACCTCTCCTCCCACTGCAACAGAAGACAACCACGTTCATTTTACTGCGGCACGGGATCACGTCGTTTCACAATGCCTCAAACGCGACATCAAGTCGTTTGGCTCACGCACGCGCCCCCAGCCTGTCCTCACACGAGATGTCGTTCAAATTCGCCACGGAACGCAGCTACGACCCTTCATCATTTGCACAGTTGCTACAGCGAAGAGAGCGGTCGGAGAAGAGGCCTCAGTCATCACTTCTCAAACCGACTGGTCGTGTGATGCGCGACGATGACAACACCCCCTCCAGCCGGCCACACGCCCTGGAGACATGCGTCAACGCGCCTCGGACCAGCAGTGCAGGCCTTCTCACACCGCCGGACTCTCAGCAGCGCAAGCGTCGAGGCAGCACTGGGCAGGATACACCCACGAAGAGGCATCAGAGCAGCCGCGTACCCCCGCAGTGCAGTGTCTGCGGCAGCAGAGCTCAAATCAAGCAGTGTCAGAGCTGTGCCGCAGTGTATCTGTGCTCGCACTGCATAATATACGCACCGCTGGCTCACCCCTTCCGTGGCCATTCCTTCAGACCGACCGACCATAAGGCGACTGTCGTATACGGTGGCATGGACAAGGTAAACAAGTTGAGCCAAGACCTTGACGACAACCACAACGATAAGGACAAGGAATTGGTTTACGAGGATGGCGTGGACTCTCTACCTAAGGATACCGGTCACGATCGGGCAGCTCCATTTCCATGTCGATTCTGCGGCAAGCACATGGACGGGGAGTGGTATGAATGCCAGGACTGCCTGGGCGCTGCCGCGCATTTCTGCTTCCAGCATACCTGGCTTCACGACAGGCTTCACACTTCACATACCACCAAGGCTATCAGCGTGGGCGTGCAGCCGGGCGAGCAGGCCAGAGACCATAATAGCGTGCTGCCATAAGTGAACACAAGGAGGTCGAAGGCCAGCCTGTTGTCGATGGGGTCCGAGACACGACTGACCGCACTGGACATTGTGGAACTTTCCCGGATCAGGATTGCTCCCCTGTGGATATCGCTCAAGATGCCGAAATTGATATTGCACTGTCAGATGGGGCGGCATTGACGGAGGACGATGCCTGTTCTACAGAAGACGAGGCCGTCTCATCGGAAAACGAGGCCGTCTCAACAGAAGACGACATATCTATGGAAGGCTATAAGTGCCGTGAGGGTTTGAAAGCATGATTATAAAAGCATCTATTTCCTAAGAGTAATATAAAAAGAGGAAATAAAAGAAATTTAGCTATTTAAGCACTTTAAAAAGTAATTATAAACTAAAGTTAAGGATATATATATAATATACCCTTTAATTAAAAGGCAATTCTTAGCTTATTAATTACCTTATTTTTTTTAAATAACTTATTTATATATAAAAACATTAATGTAATTTATTAATAAGTAGCGGATATTAATAATTAGCGGATTTTCATAACTTTACTTAACTTTAGCTAATATTAATATTACCTTAAGGCTAATAAATAAATAAAAAGTTATTATTAATTAATGCTAATTACTTTTAATTCTTTATTTTTAATTAATTTAATTAAGTTAAAGTAATTAAGGATAGTTGCATTAAAGTTTAAAACAATTAACTTTTAATAAAGAAGTTTTATTTTAATATTAATTATATCTTAATTTTTTATATTAATTTTGCTTTAATTTATTTATTTAAATATTTAATATATTAAAAATTAATAATTATTAATATATTCTTTATTTAAAGAAAATAAAATCCTTTTAATTATTTAAGTAATTTAAAAGTTTAAAAAAGATAATATAAAACCCTTGTTTATAATTTAAGTTGCTAAGATCTTTTATATTCTTAAAATTATATTTTATTATAAAATAAATTAATAATACTTTTGCAAAGAATTATATATTAATATATATAAATTTAATTAAATTAAAGAATAAATATTTATTTAAATATATTATTAAGTAAAATGCTTAAAAGTTTCCTTTATAACTTTTTAATATAAAAAATATAGTTAACTTTTTATTAATATTATATAATGCTAAATTTATTAATAAGTATTAAGCTTGATGCTTTATAAATTTATAACTTATTCTTAAGATTAAGTTTAATTATTTTTATAATTATTAAAGGGCTTTTTATAAAATTTTAAAGATTATTAAGAATTAATTTAAATTGCTTTATTATATAATAGCTAAATATAAAATTATAAATAATAATCTTTATAATTTTAATAAAATTAGCTTTATAATAAATATAATTATTATATTAATAATAATTATATATATTAATTAATATAAAAAGATTAAATTAATTTAGCTTAATAATTAAGAATAAGCTATAATTATTAAATATATTAATATAAAAAGCTAATATATTTTATTATTTATAATTATTTAAGGCGCTTATTATATTATAAGCTATATTATAAAGTTAGGTTTTTTAAATAATTAAGTTATTAAACTTACTTTAAATAAATAAATAAATAATAAAATTAATTTAAAATAAATTTAATATTTTAATAAATATATTAAATAATAAATAAAGAGCATATATTAAATATTAATATTAAATAATTATAAAAGCTATATATTAACTAAGTTTAATTAATATTATAAAGATAATAATATTATTTTTATTAATATATTATTATATTCTTTTTATTTACTTTAATTATTAAATATTATATTATATTTACTTTTAAAGTATATATATATAATAATTAAATTAATTTCTTTATTTAAGTATTTATTAATTATATTATTAAGTTTAAGTTTTTTTTATATTTATAATAGCTTATAATAAGATTTTTATAAAGAATAATATTAAGATAATATTTAAAAAAGCTAAAATCTTACTTTAAAACTTAAATTTTATTATTTTTAAGCTTAATATATATTTATAAACTTTTATATAAACTCTTTTTATTTTTCCTTAATATTAAAAATCTTAAATATTATTTAATGCTTAATAAATTATTAAGTAATTAAGCTTTATTAAAGATAAGATTTTTGTTTATTAAGAAAGCTTTTTTATATTAATTATAAAGGCTATTAATTAAATAATAAAGAGTATATAAGTAATAATATATAAACTTATTATTTTAAAGAATTAAGTTTATATTCTTAAAAATGCTAATATAATACTTATTAAATGCTAAAGGGCTAAAAGAACTTAAATATAGCTTAAGAAAGCACTTATTATTAAGGAATTTTAAGCTTTTATTTAAAAGAAATAAAAAGAAAAGCAGCTAGCTAATAAAATAAATAATAGTATTAAAGAGGCGGTTTGTAGTAAATTAATTAAAATAATAATATAATAATTGCAATAAAATTAAATATAATGTAAGAACTTATAGGAAAGATAAAAAAGGATTAAGTTAATTAAATTTTAATTATATTATAATAAGTTTAACTTAATTAATATTAAATAATATAAATATATTTATTTTAATAATTTATAATAAATTGCATTTTTAATAATATAATTAATATTATTTAATATAAAATATAAGTTTCTTATTAAAAGTTATTTATTTTAAATTTATATTATATTTATATTAATTACTTTAATTAATTAAATTAATTAAAAATAAAGAATTAAAAGTAATTAATATTAATTAATACTAACTTTTTATTTATTTATTAGCCTTAAAATAATATTAATATTAATTAAAATTAAATAAAGTTATAAAAATCCATTACTTATTAATATTTAATACTTATTAATAAATTACATTAATTATAACTTATTAAATAATTAATTATTTAATTTTGTTATAATATATATATTTTATTATTTAAACTTTAATTATTTATTACCTTATAATATAACTTATAATTAATAATTAAACTTTATTTTTAAATCTTTTAATTTATTTTATATTTAAAAATATTTATTTTTATTAATTTAAAATATTTCTTTTATTATATTAAAATTAATTAAAAGTAATAAAAATTAAGTTTTTAAGTAATAAATTAATTAACTTTTTAATACTTTTAAGATTAAAAAGTTAAAATAGAAATATATTAAAATTAATAAAAAGTTTAATAATAAAATTAATAAAAACATTAATAATTTAATTAAAATATTATTAAATAATATTTTTAAAAACAAATTTTTTAATAAGGTTTAAAAATTAATTTTAAAGGATATATTAATTCTTAATATAATTATAAAGAATTTTTAAGTTTATATAAATAGCTTAAAGCTTAAAATAAAAACGTTTTTTAAGAAAAAGGTTAAAATAAAGTATAAAAAAATAAAAAAGCTTTAAAAAATTAATAAGCATTATATTTCTTATTTTCCTTATATTAAGAATTTTATATATAGCTATAATAATAATTCTTATATAAATTATAATAATAAGGATAATTATTATTGTTATTATATTAAAAATAATTCTTATAAATTATTTTTAATTTATCTTTTATTATTTATATATTATTTTTATTTTATTTATTTTAATAATTTCTTAGCTTTTAAAGATTTTCAATATACTTAAAAAATACTTTAAATATATATAAGCATTAAAGATTTATTTATAATATCTTTATTTATATTTTTATACTTTTTTTATATATTTATAAGAGTTTTATTTCTTAATAATATTTTTTAAAAGCTTAAAAATTAAATTATAAATAACTTAAAAGTTTTAAAGAAATATATAATATATATTAATATAATAAGTTTTACTTTTAATTTTAATAATAATTCTTAATAATAAATATTATTATATTTTAATTTAAAATTTTAACTTAATAATTTAAGAATATAATTAAAATTTAAAAAAGCTTTTTTAAAAAATTAAGAAATTATTATAATAATTAAAAGAAGATTTTTAATTATAAAATAATCTTTATATATAAGTTATATTATAATCTTTTAAAAGTATAATTTTTAAAAATTTTAATAAAAACTTAATAATAAATATAATAAATAAATAACTTAATTTCTTTTTATTAATTTCCTTATAATTTAAAAATTTAAAAAAGCTTTAAAATATTTAAATTAAGTATATAATAAAACTTAAATAAATTTATTTATTAATATCTTTTTAATTTTTAAATATATAATATTAAAGATATTTTTTTAAAACTTTTATTTTAATTATATTTATTAAGTATTTAAGTATTTAAGTTTTATTTTTAATTATTTATATTTATTAATAATTAAATATATAATTATTTTATTATTATAATAAATAATTTAAGGCTTATTTAAATTTAAGATTATATTTTTAAATAAGTATTTTAAAGCTATTATTTTCTTAATTATATACTTTAAAATTAATCATTAAATTTTAATAATTAAAGGAAAAAAATAATTATTTATTTATATATTTTTTAATATATAAAGTCCTTAAAAAATATTATTTATCCTTAAAAGCATTTTTAATTCTTTTTATTATTAATAAATAAAATATTTTTAATTATTAAAAGTATATTAAGCTTTTTAATTCTTTTTATATTAAAAATAAGCTATTTAAATAAATAAAGGATAGGTTTTGCTAAACTGTTTTAAGAATAACTTAAGGAAAAGCTTTAATATAATAAAGAAGAAAAATAAAAATAAAATGGAGTTAAAAAAAGGGAAAAGGTAAATATTTTAAAAATTCTTAAAAATATAAAAAGCTTAATTAAAGTATTAAATATATAAGAAAAAAAAGGAGTTAATTTTTTAAAAGAATATTTAAAATAAATATAAAAGCTAACTTTTTATAGCTAATTAAAATTTAATGCAATATTATTCTTTATATATTTTCTTATCTTTATTAATATACCCCTTTTTAAGCACTTTATAATAAATATTATAAATATTATTAAAATAAAACTTTATTATTTTTTATTATAATTTTAATTATTATTATTATCTTTACTTTCTTATTTATTTATTTTATTATAACTTTTATTTTTTTATAAAAACTTTAA